TCTCCCCACCTGAATTTCTCGGAATCTAAGCCAGATAGAGAAAAATGGTCCAGACAAAAGTAGAAGGGGACAGAGGGGGTCACCTAATGGTACCAAGGACCTTGACCTTGAACTCGATTTTCAAAGTTATTTCAAGATCAAAGTGATTTTTTAAAATGGGAACACCTATTTTTGACCCCGGATTTGAAAAGAGCGGGAAATTTTACGTTCAAAATGATATGTTTATCACGGTCATGACAAGGTCGAACGAAGCTAAATTTGCGAATTTAAACTCCCCACTTACATTTTCCGGAACCTAAGCCAAATACGTAAAATTGGTTCAGACAAATGTTAAAGGGGGCCGAGGGGGTCACCTATCTGTACTCTGATCTTGACCTTGAACTCGATTTTCAAGGTTATTTCAAGGTCATAGTGATTTTTCGAAATGGGAATCACTACTTTCGAGGGTTTCTTTAACTGTATTAACCTTACTTTTAGCGCTACCCAGAAACAACGATGTGGACGTAGTAAGTACTGTTTCCTTTGGGGTGCTGGATTAAAGTGAGTCCCCTCGCCTCTCACTATTCGGAGTGCTGGATTAAAGTGAGTCCCTTCGCCTCTCACTATTCGGAATGCTGGATTAAAGTGAGTCTCCTCGCCTCTCACTATTTTAAAAATTATTAATTTAACTTCGAAGCAAATGTTCGAAGTTGCCTTCATTTGCTTGAAAGCATAAAATCAAACGCCTTTGGAAATGGCGTACGGTGTTAAGCAAAGTTTGCATTGGAATTGCAGTGCATGCTCGACGAATGCGATCTTCAAAGTTTGATCTTGTTGTGGGCTGTTGTTCGAAAACAACATTTTTCAAATAGCCCCATAAAAAAAAATCTGGGGATGTGAGATCGGATGAACAAGCAGGTCAATTAACCGGACCGCCTCGTCCAATCCATCTCCCATAGTAATTTTCATTCAAGAAAGCTTGTACGATTCGTGCAAAATGTGGTGGTGCACCATCCTGCTGGAACTACATTCTTCGTCGCGTTTCTAAATCGACGTCTTCCATCAATTCAGGTAACTGATCTCTAATTAAATGTAAATAGGTATGCCTATTAACATTTTCCTCAAAAAAATAAGGACCAATTAAATATCCGTTGACGATGCCACACCATACCATGAGGCTCCAACGTCTTTGATGATTCACAATTCTGTGCCAATGAGGATTCTCATCCGACCAATAATGGCAATTATGCCTATTGAGTTCTCCGTCACTTTGAAATTTAGCTTCATCAGAAAAAAGCACAAAGTTGAAAAAATCAGGATCATTCTCTATCATCTGCAAAGCCCATTGGCAAAACACAATTCGCTGTTGAAAATGATGAAACTGTAACTCTTGAACTAAAGTTAAATGATAAGCATGATATTTATGGACTTTAAGAATTCTCAAAAAGGTTCTTCTAGGTATACCTATTTCTCTTTCAACTCGGCGACTGCTGATATGAGGATCAAGGTGAACGATTGCAAGAACAGTCAGAACACGAGCATCATTTTCGTCGTATTCGTGGCGCCTGCGAAGGCGAACCATATGTCCACCACGAGCTCTTTCAGTTAATGTACTTATTGTCCTATGATCTAGGTGTCGTCTATCTGGAAAGCGTTCAGCGTAAAGTTTTGCTGCAGCACGATAATTATTATGACTTTCGCCTAAAATCATTATCATATCAACAATGTCATTGGGCTGATAGCCAGCCATTTTTAGAGCTGTTAGTCACCTTTAAAAAATGTAGATGACAAAATGATAATCAAAACCTTAAAGTCTGATGAAAAAGAAAAAAAATTGAAAAATATCTGAAACTGTATTAATTCACTTTTTTTGTTAAAAATATTTTGTTCGTCACCTTTACGAAATTTAGATTACGAAATGATAATCAAAATCTTAAAGACTTATAAAAAAGAGAAAAATGGAAAAATGACTTAAACTGTATTATTAATTTACTTTCTTTGATTTTCCAAAATCTAAATCCATAAAAAAATCAAATTAATCTAAAAATTGAATTAAATATTTATGAGACTGTTTTAGAGCTGTTCTTCACCTTAACAAAATGTAGATAATGCAATGTTAATCGAAATCTTACAAACTTATAAAAAAAGAGAAGAATCGAAGAATTATTGAATCGTACTTTATAACTATGAAAAATCAAATTAATGTAGCAACTAAACAAAGTATGTATTTATGAGATATTCAAAATATTCATGAGACATGTACGTACTAAGGATTTTTAATATTCATTGTTTTTTTTCGCAATCATTATGGAGTCGCCGTCTTTACTTGGATATGGGTTATGGGTTGGGTTATGATTATTGATCCGATTATCGTTATGGGCTCGTTTTGGATTATGGGTTGTGTTGGGTTATGGTTTAAGTTATTGGTTAGTACGATACTTACGCATGCGCAGTAATAAAGTACGATACTTATGCATGCGCAGTAGTGAAGTACGATACTTAGGTTCCGGTATATTCAATTGGGAAATCAAAATTCGCAAACTTGACCTTCATTCGACCTTACCATGACCTTGATAAACATATCATTTTGAACGTAAAATTTCCCGCTCTTTTCAAATCCGGGCTCAAAAATAGGTGTTCCCATTTAAAAAAATCACTTTGATCTTGAAATAACCTTGAAAATCGAGTTCAAGATCAAGGTCCTTGGTACCATTAGGTGACCCCCTCTGTCCCCTCCTACTTTTGTCTGGACCATTTTTCTCTATATGGCTTAGATTCCGAGAAATTCAGGTGGAGAGATTAAAATGGCCCACCGTGTATAACGAAGTTACAGCCGAGAGAATGAATCGTCTCCGAGAGCGCGCCGTGCCGCCTGTTTTACGGCCGAGCCGAGAGGCAGATAGCGGCAAGCGACCCTTCGAAGAGACCATGTCTAGACCTGTTTTACGATTCTATTGTATTTTCGGGCGTGCTCGGGTCCAGGTATAACGGAAATATCACACGACCGTTATTCTTTGCCAGAAATTGTACGCGTTTCGTCAGTAGCCGTTCGTGCAACTGTGCGTTATAGTGAGTTTTCGTCTGTGAATAAATATTCTGTGGAAAATGGATAACAGATATAAAGGTTCTCGGGAAGCTCATCGATCCGGATTTTTTCGCAAAGATCGTAGCAAGAAGAAAATACCGCCTAAAAATCGACATACTGCCGAAAAAGTAGAACTTTCCGACGAGAATATTAGTTCTAGTGCCAAAAAATTGAAGACTGATCGTGAGACATCCGCACCAGAAAATTCAAACATCGGGTATTGAATTTTGAATTTTCTGACAGTGTTTTCTGCCGTATCGGAATGTGTATAATACAAAAAGTGGGATAGTGATGT